CCCTCACATGCCGCCAACGCCTAAATATGGCTTTTCAAGGACCTACACCACCATCTTCCCTTACTCAAAACACCACCCCCTCCATCCTTGGCCCCTACAACCCATCTGCCTCTTTCACCTCTTTCGCTCCTCCCTCAACCTCTACCACCACTTGGTATGCCGACTCTGGTGCCACAAATCATATCACCAACAATCTTGCAAATCTCTCCCTTCCTTCTCCTTATCAAGGTAATGAAAGTATCACTGTGGCAAATGGTCAACACATGCCTATCTCTCACACTGGTAACTCTACTCTTTTTTCCTCTACCTCTTCTTTTAAATTTAATGACATTCTTCATACTGCAAATCTCTCACACAACCTTCTCTCTGTCCATCAGTTTGTTACTGATAACAATTGCCACATTATATTCACTCCTTCTTCTTGTATTGTCAAGGACAACAACACGGGGACAACTCTCTATCAAGGCCCTACTGAAGGACATCTCTACCCCATCAAGCTTTCAACTTCTCCATTTCCTCTCACATGTTTCAGCAGTCAAGTATCTTCCACTTTATGGCACCAACGCCTTGGCCATCCCAACAATCAAGTCCTTATGCAGCTCATCTCTAGCAAACAACTTCCAACCACACCTACATCTGCCACTTTATCCTTTTGTTCCTCTTGTCAATTAGGAAAAAGATCAAAGCTTCCTTTCTCTAAATCATCATGTACTACATATTCTCCTTTGGAATTAATACATTCTGATTTATGGGGACCCTCTCCAGCAGCTTCATTTTCTGGCTTCAAATACTATATTATTTTTATTGATGATTGGTCCCGTTTCTCATGGCTGTATCCACTTCACAATAAGTCAGATGCACTCCATGCCTTTAAAATTTTTAAAACCTATGTCGAAAACCTGCTTGACAAGAAAATAAAAACCCTTCAATGTGATAATGGTGGTGAATACACAAGCTCAGCATTCAAAACCTTTCTTTCTACTCATGGCATATTTCAACGATTTTCTTGTCCCCATACACCCGAGCAAAATGGTTTGGCTGAAAGAAAACACCGCCACATTTTAGAACTTACTAGGACTTTACTTGCTCAGTCTTATTTACCTTTACAATTTTGGGTTGAAGCTGTACAAACCTCGGTATATCTCATCAATAGAATACCGTCTTCTGTCCTTCACAAAATTTCCCCTCTTCAAAAACTATTTCATAGCAAACCTGATTATTCATTCATGCGTGTCTATGGATGCGCATGTTATCCTTGGCTAAAACCATATGCCCCTCACAAATTGGCTTTTCGAAGTCAACCATGTGTCTTTATAGGCTATGGTATAACCCACAAAGGATACAGATGTTACAATCCAGTCACTGGTAGAGTCTACATTTCTAGACATGTCATTTTTGATGAAAGTTCATTTCCCTTTCACAACAACTTTCCCCTGCCTCAATCATTCTCTAATCCTACGGTTTCCAGCACTCCAACCTTACTTCCTCTACCCACCTTTTCACAACCATCCCCCCCCCTCCTACCCCTTTCCCCTAACCCCTTCCTCCCCCCCATCTTCCCCCCCTTCCTCCTTGCACTCTTCTCCAGCTCATAATTCTCCAACCATTCCTTCCTCATCTCTACCTATCAATTCCTCACCCACTTCTCCATCCACAGACCCTTCATCTATCCCACCAAATCTGTCTATCCCTATTCATATTTCTCCACCACCCCAACCTATTTCCACCAATACCCATCCAATGGTTACAAGATCCAAAACTGGGTCTCTTAAACCACGAGCTCTCTCCACCAAACATCCCCTTCTTTGTGCTTTGTCCATCACCACCCAAATACCAAATCCCACTACTTTCAAACAAGCCTCTAAAATCCCTCAATGGCAGCAGGCAATGCGTGAGGAATTCAATGCTCTCCAACAAAACCAAACTTGGACCCTTGTCCCCTTTCATCCTTCTCAAAACCTCATTGGATGCAAGTGGGTCTATCGTGTGAAATACAAATCTGATGGCTCTCTTGACAGGTTTAAAGCAAGACTTGTGGCTAAAGGTTTCCACCAACAAGAAGGTTTAGATTACAATGAAACATTTAGTCCCGTTGCTAAGCCTACCACCATCCGGCTCATTCTTTCTCTGGCTGTCCAAAATGACTGGTCGGTTACACAACTGGATGTCTCCAATGCCTTTCTTCATGGCCACCTTCAAGAGGATATTTTCATGGTGCAGCCCCCTGGCTTTCTTGATTCCTCCAAGCCTCAGCATGTTTGCAAACTGAAGAGAACTCTCTATGGGTTGAAACAAGCTCCTAGAGCTTGGTATGAGGAGTTGTTTCACTCTCTTCTCTCTCTAGGGTTCAGTGCCTCAACTGCTGACATCTCTCTATTCATCAAGGCAGACACCTCTATCACCTTTGTCCTTGTCTATGTAGATGACATCCTTATTACAGGTAGCTCCCCTTCATTCTGCAACTCTCTCATTTCCCAACTTGGTCTTCAATTCTCTATGAAAAACCTTGGCTCCTTGCATTACTTTCTTGGCATTCAGTTTCACCGCACCCCCACCTCTCTTTTCCTTTCCCAATCCAAATATACACTTGACCTTCTTACCCGTGCCTCTATGGTTGATTGCAAGCCTTGCTCATCTCCAGCCTCTCTTACCAAACTTGACACTGAATCTGGTATGTTGCTACCTGACCCTACCCTCTATAGATCACTAGTTGGTGCACTTCAGTACATTACTTGGACTAGACCCGACATTGCATTTGCCGTTAATCAAGTGTGTCAACACATGCATACGCCTAGAACTCCCCACCTCATTGCTGTTAAGAGAATTTTGCGGTATCTCAAGGGTACTCTTGATCACGGCCTCACCTTCACTAAAGGCTCTTCTCACATCACTGCCTACTCCGATGCTGATTGGGCTGGTTGTCCAATTGATCGTCGTTCTACGACTGGCTTTTGCATTTTCTTTGGCAATAACCTTGTCAAAGCCAATAATGTGGTGTATGTGACCGTCGTCGACCTCTGCCTCGGCTGTCAAGCCCAACAACTTGACTTGTCTAGAGAAGCATTCGCATCCATCGCCGGTTTAGGAGCAGGAAGGATTAAGATATACTTTCAGCCAGTGTTAGAGAGAATGGTCATGTTTTCGTACCTCTATTTCTTTTTCTTTGTCTTTCATAATGTAGAATAATAGGTGGATCCCTCAAGCCTAGTATAATGAATTCCAATATGTATTGATGACATATCTAATAACCATACACAGCTGTCCATCACAACCATTGATGCAGCACCACAAAGCACCATTCAAAATGAAGCCTCAAGATTGAATCGTACATGCCAGCATGCACCAGCTAGCAAAGACCAAATATGACTCAACATATGCTCAGCATATTCTCCTCCCAAATGGTTACCTTGGCCGGTCCTTATCTATTAGTCCCTTCTATTCTATTCTAGAATATTTGTAAAAGCTGTCTATAAAAGCATTCATTTATTCACTGTGTAATATATAGAGCAAAAATATATAATACAAAATCTTCTTCATTGTCTTCTCTGCCTCGTCTTTATCTCTGCATTCCTTTTCTCTTTAAAATCGAGATGGGGTTTGTTTCCAAGCTCTAGGAGATTGCCAATGAAAGGAAGTGGCTTTGGTCCAGGTGGAAGAAGATGCCTTTTGGGGTTGGCTTTGCTTCTGAGGGCTTGAATTGAGAACAAGAACACAAAGAAAAGACTCGTTAGGAGGACCATACAAAAACTCAAGAAATCCATTCTCTCTCTCTCTCTCTCTCTCTCTCTCTGGTTGTAATTTCAGACAGAAACAAAAGTTAAGGGAGAGCATAAACCTTTTCACCTCCGACCTCCTAAAACTAGTCTTTCTACTTGATGGCCAACTCAGAAGTGTCTATAAAATCACATTTTAGTGTTTATTTATAGAAACACCTACCAACCGGGTGAGAAAGTGTCTTGTTATATTTTTGTCAAGTTCCACTCGGTTCTATAGGAATTATTGTTTGCTGTTAGTCACGTGTCAACAAGGCATTGGATAATTGCCTCAACTAGTGTGAATTAGGTAGCTATTTTAATTTATTTTTTTGTTTGTCGATTAATTAGGCAGCTATTTGTTGTATATAAAGGCCAATGTAACAATGAGATTAATTCAATTGGCCACTCAGATTGTACCATTTCGTCGTGGCCAAACTACGACACTACTCCTCTTGGAATTTGGATGGACTAGTAGCCTCGTCTTTTCCATGTATAAGCCTACTGTGAATTTATTCCAATAAAAAAAGGTCTGACTTGCTTCAGATCGCTAGGTTAGTGACGGTTTGTATGAGTCCATTGAACCAAGAGTTTGTTTCATTTTGGGGGTTTGTTCTTCAGGACTCAAAAACAGGTTCACCCGGTTGGAATTCTTGGGCTTCATTCTTTGAAGAAACAAGAGTATATTCATAACTAATTGGGCAGTTCCCATTGAGGAAGATTGGGGCTGTGGCCAGATACTTACAATAAATAAATGAAATACGTAATTTCCTTTTGAAAATTGCCTGAGAAGCTTGTTCCTCTCATCTGGAACATTGACCAGGTTTGAAAAGTTTGGGGAAAGCTTGCTAATATATCTACTCAAACAGCTTCAAGTGGAAGCTAGATTTCCCATGACAGTGATCAATGAGGTCCAGACCATAACCAGCCAGTTCATTCCCCAAAAACTCCGAGACAAAATCCTCGCCACAATTGGAGGCCTTTTGGGTAATCTTCCCTACTCTCAAATGACTCTTATCATTGATGAACACAGTGGCCTCTCTGTCAATGAGATTTACCAGGCCTCAGAAATCTACTTAAGCACAAGGATCACCCCTTCAATTGAACAGCTTAAGGTTTCCAAGGCTCCAAGCCAGAACAACTTCTCTGTTACCATCAACAGAGGCAAAAAGCTTATCGATGATGAATTCGAAGGAATCAAGTTGAGATGGGAATTCTGTTGTACTGAAACCAAGAGCACACATCATGACTATGAAGACTATTCAGCTCAGCTTCCATAAGACATACAGAGAGAAGGTGTTGCGCACTTATCTGCCATATGTTGTAGACAGGTCAAACGCCATACAAGAAGAAAGAAAAGTGGTTAAGCTTCATGCTCTGGGGAACTTTATGCAGGTCCCTGGGGATCAGTCATCTTTGATCATCCATCTACTTTTGACACATTGGCAATGGATCCAAAGCTTAAGGAGGAGTTGATTGATGACTTGGACAGGTTCGTGAGGCGAAAAGAGTTTTACGGGAGAGTAGGCAAGGCATGGAAACGTGGGTACTTGTTGTATGGCCCTCCTGGTACAGGGAAGTCTAGCTTGATTGCAGCCATGGCTAATTACCTCAAGTTTGACATCTATGACTTGGAGCTTAAGCATCTGCGTAGCAACTCCGAGCTCAGGAGGCTGTTAGTCTCCACTGCAAACCGATCAATACTGGTAATTGAGGATATTGATTGTAGCATCAAATTGAAGGACAGAGAATTTGGAGGAGGCAACCCCAATGACAGCCAGGTAAGGACCAAGAGCAACAAGTTTTTCATGCAAGTAATTTCTGACTCTGATTTTATATTAATTAAGCTCTCCTTTTTACAGTTGACTCTATCTGGGTTGCTGAATTTCATCGATGGGTTATGGTCAAGCTGTGGAGAAGAGAGGATAATCGTGTTTACAACCAACTACAAGGACAAACTAGATCCTGCATTGTTGAGACCAGGCCGCATGGATATGCACATTCACATGTCCTACTGCACACCAGGGGGATCTTGCTTCAAACTACCTCGGAATAAAAACTCACTGTTTCTTCGACGAAATTAATGCATCCGTTAGGGAGGTGGAGGTGACTCCCGCAGAGATTGCGGAAGAACTCATGAAAAGTGAAGACACCAATACGGTGCTTGGAGGACTTGTTGCATTCCTCAAGAACAAGAAAAAAGATGGACTGTAATGCAGGAGTCAATGTTGAAGAAACAAAAGAAGTCAATGAACAAGAGAAATAATGCCTGGAAAACAAGGAGCTAATATATAGAGAAATGGAAAATAATCTCCACCTTCAGTTGAATAACTTGAGAAATTCCCTTTGCTTCAAATAATTTATGTTCCGATTTCGTGAAAATATATTGCAGACTACAACTTTTCCACATCTTTCGTATGGTCTCAGTCCCTATGAGCACTTATATGAACAACCAAGCAAGTATGATAAAAATAGTAGAAGAGCTTTATGCTAAAACTAACCACTTGAATTATGATAAACATAATACATGTATTCCTACCTGAAAGAGAAAAATAAACCAAAATCCATAGATTACAGGGGCCTGTACATTCTGCTCTTTGAGAAAAGAGAATAAAAAAGAATAACTAGGAATGCCCATAAGAAGGGAACAAAGGAAATGAAAAGATGATACAACAGAAATTTACAGCACCGTAGGACTTTAACACTGGTAAACAGAATAGCTCTTGCTCTTCCACAAAAACCTAAAAGGTTTGCTCATCTTTCTTCTTGAGGCGGATTTGCACAGTGGCTTTGATTCTGGAACAGACATTGGCTTGTTGCTATTTTCAACAGACAAATGCACCTCCGCCTCTGCAGGTGGTTGGTCTCTCTGTCTCTGCTCACGGAATAGCATTAAAAGCTTTTGAGCCTTCTCTTTTCCTCTTGATGTACCATTCACAGAAATCGACACCAATGCAGGTATCACCCCTTCCTTTAGGACCATCTGACTGCATTTATCATTCCCATTACACAACAAAAAGAGACATGAGACAGCTTGCTCCTGCTCAATGGGTTCATCAGCCTCCAAAATTGTTGCTAGCGCACTGATAAGACCTGAATTTGATATCATTTCATCTCTTGCAGAGCTACTTGAAGCCAAATTTATCAAAACAGCTGTACATTTTTCTGTCCATGTACGGTCACCAGAGTTCGCAAGAAGGGTTTGGAGACCACTGATAATACCAGCTGAAAGTAGATTTGGAATATTTGATGGAATGCCAGAAAGATTGTATAGGGCGTGGAGGGCATCCAGCTTGCATTGGATTTCAACATTGGCTTGAAGGAGCTGGGTTAAGAAAGGGACAGCAGGGCTTGTGCCAACTATGTGCTTGGCTTCTTCAAGGCAGGAGAGATTCAGATAGAGGGCTGTCGCAGGTCCATGAGAACTGGGATTGGAGATCATTTCCTCTAGCAATGAAATTACTCCTGATGCTAACATCGTTTCTTTGTTTCTGGGGGAAAAAAATAAAGAATCGATAAATTTCCAAGTTTTTAGTCCAAGAATAAGAGCTGAGAAACAACACATTATCCTCTCGACCCATGATGCAACGGAAATATCAACACATCAAAATTAATCGCTATGTTGCACCCATTTCCCAGAAAATTTCTTAACATTAGTGAGCCATATTTTGATGCTTAATAGACCTCTGACCTTTTTCAGACATTTAGCAGACCACATAATTGCAATTTAATTCAAAATTAAAATATTATCAAACAAAGCCTGTGGTCACATCTGATTCTTATAAAATCTGGAAATTTTATTGAACTATACCTGTTATTATTGACAGCAAGATTGAAGAGAGCCATGGCTCCACTTTCCTGAGCTAAAACATTTGCTTCACGCACTGCTGATTTCAGAAAGCATAGAAGCGCTTCAACAAACCCATTAGCACCCATATACATCCTGGCCTCCTCATCATCCTTCAGCAAGAACCTTAATTGCTCCACGACCTTGCACTTCTTCCTGAAGTCTGCACCTTCATTTAAGACAGTTAAAAGACCCTGATAACTTTCAAAAGAATCAAGCTCAGACTCTTCCTCCACCGGAGACACGTCTTCTGTTTCATTCCCAACAGCTTCATCTATTGTGGCACTCTCCTCTAAAGGAACCACCTTGACACCTTTCAACTTGCAATAGCCAACACTACCCATAGATTTTGAATTAGTGGACTCAGACTCAGACTCAGACAACGCAAGCCTCCAATAGTTGAGGTCAAGAGACTCCGGGGGACCATCAGGAACAGAAATTCCATTCTGTTCGCACCAACTAGCAATGAGACCCTTGACACAGTAATTGGGAGTTAAAGAAAGATGAGACAGCTTCTGTTGAGTCTTTGGGCAGGTATTATGCCCATCGCTGAACCATTTCTCAATGCAAATCCTTTCATAGGTCTGACCAGAAGCAATGATGACCGGATCATACATAAGCTGCAGTGATATAGGACACCTCAACTCTTCAGGTGGAAGAGGCATCTGACCTGACCTCCGATTGTTTGGCTTGGAATTAAAAGAACTCTTGAAATTAAAAGAACTAACTTTTGACAGCTGTCGGTCAAATGCATGACCATTGCCCCCAGGCGCAGCATCCTCAATTGAACCCTGAATAGTGGGAGAACAAGGTGCAGAACCCTGTGAATCATTGTCATCTGAGATTTCACTTCTAAACAACTTGGAGTATTTTCTCATAAGATGTAATAGATAAGCCACAATTGATTCTTTCCGCTTGTCTTCCTCAGCACGGGCTCTTTGGATGAGTTTCTTTAGAGCTCTTCTCTCAGTAAGAGCTGCCCTTGAAGAGGTAATACCAAGTTTGATAGCAGCCTGATGAAAAGATTCCAGCTCATTATTGTCATTACAGTTGTCAAACTTTCTCCCTTGTTGGAGGAGTGCAATTATTTCATCACCAACTTGCTTCTCTGATGGATCAAGTGAGAAGACAGTACCCTCAAGTTCACTAACAATCTCTTCAATCTGAAACAAGTTCAACACTAAATGATGTTAAGAACACATATAAGTGACACACAGAAGAGTAATGGCAAGAGAAAACCACAAGACACAATCACCAAGGAATTATAGCATCACCAGTTAATTTCAAACAATTTCTATTAAGAAAACATAAAGTTATATGGAAATAAAGATGCCTTGTATTGCAAAGCACCAAATTAAATGGGTTATACAATTGTGCAGCACTAAACCAGTTCGCCCAAGATAACAAAAGGCTGGACATGACCAAGTTTCATTGTAGGGAACCACATGCAATCAGATTATACTTCAACCTCTAGTAGGTCATGAACATATGAACCATGAGGTCCATGACAACCAACACAGGAAAATAGTGAATGACCATATGAGAACCACACTGAATCATAGAGAAAGCTTCCAGTAAATTCCTACGTTAGAATATGGGGGAGAAACAAACCACATTAATAATACCTCAACCCTTTGGTGGACCATTAGGATTCATGGTAACCTTCTACTGAAAATTACTGGTCAGATTTTCAGTAATCAAAGTAAATTTCCTATTATGCATTTAAAAAATGAGGCAGTTTGGAGTTTAAGACTTTGTTAAAAGGTCAGAAGCGATTCATGGACCTCAAACGCCAAGTCATGATATTCCAAGACCCTATCAAGTTGACTCAACAATCACAACTAGATGTGTAAGTATAACGGTAACTCTGTGCTTGCGTCTACTCGCTAAGAGCAAAGTTGTGGAAACTATCTTCACCAGGGCATGCACAATAATGAAATATGATATAAAAAGCATTCAACTGAAATTACCACTGATCACCTCAAAAAATAATTACCTGACTACCAATAGATTGTGGAACAATATCTTCAACACGCCTAAGACTATCCATGAGAGCACATCTTGCCTTCTCAAATTTTGAGAGCACAGAATCCCCAGTTATAGCCTGAATGATAAAAAGTAAGTTCTCCATTATACACACAATATACTAATTCACAACCTCATCAAGAATGAAAACAAATTTAGACAACAAACGAGAAATATATTCCTCTATGGTAGAAGGGGAAAGTCTAGTTGACATTTCTGGGGATGGGAGTAACAACTACTGAATAAATTACCAACGAAATATTGAGGAAAAACCTACCAAGTAAAGTTTACTACATTCGGAGCAATGCTGAAGAACATTCTTAGCCTTTTCAAGTGCTACATGCAATGAACATAAAGCTTGGATGCCCGATTTGCTCCTAGGTCGAGCTGCTTCCAAAGAAGGAAAAATTGACATTACTCTGCAATAAATCGCAGAGAGTTCCTTGCACAGTTCTCCATGCAACTGCAGAAGGAAACAAAGGTGATCAATTATATACACTGATACAACCATATGACAGAATACAGACTTTCAAAAGGTTATAAATGGGGGATCCATGCTGGTAAATTTTCCAAAAAGAATATGCAAGCCAGCTTTGAAAAGAATATACACAACTACCTATATGTATATAAACACACAACCAAATTCTCACCAAAACCTTGTACTCTCACGATGACTTCAAACTTCTCTGATTCCAAATTTTTACCAATATTATAACCGAATAAATAAGTTCGATAGATGCAACTACACCCTCCCAAGGAATGGCATAGACCCGGAGTATATGTAAGAAAAACCCATAAACTAAAATAACTGTCTTAAGTTAACTAACAATTCCTAACTAGCATTACCTATAGAGTCCAGGAACTTCGGGGATTAACAGTTCACACACGTAATTACAGGAAACACATAGGAAGTCAGCAAATATAAATGTTGAAAAAATCAAAGTTATGTTGAGTTTGAAATATTTTGCACACACAAAAAAAAAAAAACAAAAAACAAAACAAAAAACAATACCAGTCATTAAATGTATTGCCACCCATATCTCATTCATACCTTGGCATCGCTGGCAGCAAATAAGCTTTCTTCAACCTCAGAAAGATCCATGATTCAAGCTCACTTTGATAACTATGAAGAAAGCTTATACATCTGCATTGCCGAAAAAGACAGTAAAACAGAATCAGCAAAGGCATAAAGGAAGCTTCTTATTAAATGTCTAGAGCATTAAACATAAATAAGCCAAAATTCTACAACTAAGTTTAATTTTGGCTGCATCGACTAAATAGGCATGGCAGTGAAAATAACACAGTACACTGTTGGATTTCTTTGGAAACTGAGGATTAAACGAAAACAGAAATAAGCATCTAACTTGTACTTCATTTTTTCCAGGTTTTCAATGATTGAGTGAAAAATCAAAAAGTGGCAATAGAGAAGAAGCCTCCACTGAGGCAATTAATTGTAATATCCCCACTCATTCATTCCTTGGGATTGGAATATTTATTAAGTAAATCCCATATTTGGAACACTCACTTTCTCAGAAACCAAACAGAGGATTGGAAATTTGACAAGAAAAAACGAGGATAAGGCCTTAAAAAAACAAAATGGAAAAACCCAAAAAGAAAACTGCAGAGTTGATTCAGACAATATAGTATCTTCTGAAGAATGAAAAATATTTTCGAAAAACAAAATCAAAAAGAAAAAACAAATTGATTTAGACATTTCATTCCATGGCCAAAGATACAAAATCTGAGAGAAGAATGTTGATTAGCAAAACACACAGATTGATTGAGACATTTCACCCATTTCGCAAAAACTCCAACTTTCAGACAAGACCCCAAATAAAATAGGCATAGCAAAATCGAAAATGACCTTCCCGGAAATCAACATGGCCAATCAAATTTCCAAACCTCCGCGCACAGAGATAAGAAATGTGAGAACCCCGCAATTATAGAAGCGAGTAAGCTCTAAAAATGAAGCTACAGCCACAACGCGCCAATTGCTTACTATTCAGATGCGGAACAGAAGCACACAAAACACGGAATTTCGGATGACAAATTGGAAATTTACAGCTCAATGTGCCTAAAAAAAACACCAAGTCTTTGACGGGAGATAAGCAACTAGGGTTTGGAGCTGGGTGCGTACCAAAAAACCAAAACGAAACGAACTAAGGAGGCTTCATAAAAGAGCATTTAGGATATTCCCAGCAACCAAACAGAAAATTAGGGTTTCTCCGATGATCTGTACATTCCCATTTCATTACACTTAGGCCTGTGGATTCAAATAGAGAACCCGAATTTCTCGGAGTTCTTCGGGAGGGAGATATATTGGATTTTTGGTTATTCTGAGCGGGTGGGCGTAAATAGTAGGGAATATATTGGAAATAATTGAAAAAATAAAATAATTCGAGACTTTGGAGAGTTTTGGGAGATATGTTTCTATTATTTTATTTTATTTTTCGGATTTTTTTATTTTTTTTATTTTTAAAAAAATTAATTGTTAATGTCTGCATTTTTATTTATTTTTTCGCCGCTTTTGTCTCCCTGGTTCACCGGCCGACAGTTGCCGACCTCATCGTTTGTCGGTTTGCAGATCTGTCATAAATGTGCGCGAATGACGAAATTGCCATGTTAATTGAAAATTCTGGTGGAGTAGAGTGACTTTGCACTGCACTAGCACTCACTCCTCCCGGGTATTATTGGTTCCTAATTTCCTATTGCATTTCTATGACATTCCAATAACATTTATATTAATATTATGCATATATTTTGTGACCAAAGTTAGTTACATCCTTTTATAATCTAATCCATTGCCACATATCATATCAATACTTTAATTAAAGCAATCTACGCATACATGCAATAACATATTTTTTTAGAGCCTCAGTTATAATTTTTCTTCTAATGTATACGTTTCTAAATTTTTCTTCTTAAAAACAATGATAAGTCGGCACGCTACTTTACTTAGTTAGATTTGACTCTCTACCATACCTCTACCTTTTGAGGCATGTTGTCAAACACCTTACCTTGTAGCTAGCAACCATATTCAAGGAGATCATTAAAGGAGTATTGGGCAATTTCATGTGCAGTAATAATAGAAAGTGGGGCAATTATATGCACCGGCAAATTTATGATCATGTACTTTTCACAATCAATAATATACGATAGTAGTATCTTTTTCATATAATAACACAAACTTATTTGTGCATGACTTTTTTTAATTAATGAGAAACAAGATATTTAAACTTATGACCTCTCTCGATCTTGAGAGGATAACTTATTGATTGTGCAAATTTTGAGATTACCTATTATTTCTCTTACTCACAAAGTATTGTATCTAACCAACTAATGAAAATTCACATGGCTTTCATTCAACAGACTTTTTTTAAGGAAGAAGAAGAAGGAAAAACAAAAAAAAAGGTATGCTATTGCATCATATCATGGCTAATGACAACTACCAAGAATGACATTTTCTTATGGAAAATGTAGGAAGGAATAACCACATTAGTATTAGATTGACTATGTCACTTCCAAAAGTTGTGAATTATTCATATGGTCCCTCGAATTCCAAAAATATAAAAATATAAAATGATAATAATTACTATGATCACTATAATCTTTATATATTGAAATCCAAAATGACAATTTTTTAATACAAGTAATAGTCTAAATTATAAGAAAAAGATTTATCACACTCAATACCAAAGTGTCATGAATGTTCGAACCTTAGACCACTCATTTACAAGTGAAGAAATTTTTTCCAATTGCCTATATGCCATTAGCCAAATGACATTTGTTTTTAGTTCTTCGAGATTGACATGTATAATATAAATATAACAATAACCTACTAAATTAGGGGTGGGGAAAATGAGTAAACGAGAAGGGTAGTTACGTTAATCCATATTCAAACTGATTCCTTTTGCAGCGGATGTCTCCAAGCGGGAGTGGGGGAACAGAAATCCTCAATTCTGTGTGACTATAAAAACGTTGGCTCAGCATCGCTCCACGTGGTGTTGTTTTTCACCACCCATTTTAACAGTCTCCTCCTCCACTCTGTTTTACACCTCGCGTAGATCCATAGATCACGGATTCTGTTGTTGTTCCCCCCCAACTGGTGCTTAAAATGCATTAATTCGCGGACGCGATTGGTTAAAATGTTAAAATTTACCGCGCTTTCATCATATGAAATTACCATGTATATGTCTACAGAATTATCAATATTTTGATATTTACCCAGTTTTAAAAAATACTAATTTATTTCTTCCCAGATAGTTTCGTAATTGAAATACGTAATCGTTTTTTAAAATCAAATTTTGATTTTGATTATATAGTTTTATAGCTTACGTGATTAAAAAATAATAATAATAAGGGAAGAAAAATTAGAGGATGTGACATTTTCATGTCAACATCAATATGACACTTTTAGAACCTTTTCTCTAAAAATCTCACTATCTTAGAAGTCAAACTCATTGATTTTGTCATTCGAAAACCAATTAGAAAATCACACCAATCTAGACCTACTGTTCTCTCGATCACCTTAACCCATTTAATATATATATATATATATATTTATACAAGCATAAAGAAGCAGGGGAATAAGAAGAAAGGTTTGTACATAATTATATATTATACGTATACATTAACCAATTAAAAACATAAATTAGTATACAAAGATCTTCAAAAGGAGCAACGAATTCCTTGTAATACCGCATTAGTGTATATATATATATATACATGTTGAAAAATTAGTGCAATGATCTATTTATTTTATCTATATGTATTTATAAATATAATTATATATAAATAAATAAATAAAAAACAAAATATCTTGTTTCATGGCGATGAAAAACTTACGTGGGAAGTACTTACAGGTACATCGTGTCAATGATTTGCGCAAATTACACGTGGCGACAATTTGCATGACAATAATTATAGTTATGCGCAATTTCTGCTCATAGCAGAACGCTAGTAGTCGCATGGCTTGATTTTTCAGGGAAAATCCAAAGTTTTGAATTTTTGGACGGTTGGAAGCAACTTGTCCAGATTCGCCACAGTCAGCTGGGCATCATGTAATGCCAAAAGGGTTTATATAATTATGCCGGGTTTGAAACTACTGCATGTGCATGTTTAATATATCGTCCATTTCTGTGCAGATCCAACCTTAGAGTCAATGGAGGTGTAGACTCAGAGCAAATAATTACGGAATAAAAATAAAATTTATGACCATCGATGTATGAGTAAATATTTTTACTCAATGCCTAACGAGAGTTGGTTGAGTTGGTAAGGATCATTTTCTTCATTATCCGGCCTAAATTTGAGTTTCGTTGCTGACAATTCTTTTTTATGGATAATCTGTACAAAAAAAAAAAAAAGGGTTAAGACCCCCTCTGTAAGTCCTTAAAGAGGTCTTAATATGTCATGGACCTAGGATGAGATAACCTCCCCTCTACCTAAACTTTTATTGATTAAAAAATAATAATTTTTAATCAATTAAACTACGAATTCATAGTGTGTATGTCATTTTTAGGATTAAACATAGTATCGCTGGAGTTGGGGAACACTCAAAATTAAAAAAGAAAAGAGGTCAGTTGAGGAATCATGTTGGGAATTTATGTTGTTTACCTGCTAATTAATGATATCTCTAATGAGAGTTGTTTATCGGATATTATGACACCTATTAAGATTTGAACCTCTTCTTAGTCACATAATCTCAGTCAAATGCAACTTAAATTAGACGTGCCAAGCAATTGTCCAAATTTCCAATAAAAACAAGAATAAACCTTTTTTTTTAGGTGAGCAGAATATTTTAATAGCAGAAAATATATTTTTATAGAGAAAATGGAGGAAAATACTGAAGAATTATAAGTCAAATAAGGCAGAAGAAGGTTGGTGCACAATGGACCAAGCGATCAAAGAGGTGGGGCCAAAACTGTTGAGCAATGACGACGACGCAAGCTGAAAGCCTAAAACCCATGTCCTTGCTTCCGGGGATGTGAATGAATAGCAACAAAAATGTCGCATCTCCAAAGTCAAATTCAGAATTTATTAGAATTAAACAAATTCTAAAGTGGCGCGGAAAGTGATTAGCTTTTCTTCTCTTCACTCACTTTGACCAAATATTGTTTCCATTTTTGAAAGGCTATGGATAATCATGATTTTAAAGCTGTGTGTTTACCTTTAAGAGGTAAAATGAACAATTGCCGAAAGTGAAAATTTTTAAAAATAAACCACAAGGCGTGTGCGGTTGAGAAACTGATATTTTTAGCCGGCGAGTAACCTGATGTCTTAATAACAGAGATTTAGAACCCTTTGAAAATACTTTGTGGCCAAGAAAAATCTAAATCCCGAGCGAAGATTAATCCCATTTTTCAAATATGGGAACAACTTGTGATATTTATCCCAAAAAAAATTTAAAAATAAAATAAAAACATGTCGGCAAATGCCACTTGGAAAAAACATGATAAGTAGGTTAGAGGAAGTGGAATTTATTACATCCTCGTAAGGAGACTTAAGAGAATAATTATTATAAATCATCACAACCATGCATGTCTGTAGCACATCATCATTGGGGGTGGTCCAACCAAACTAAACGGATATTGGGTTGACCACGTTCGCTTTCTTTTGAACCCAGTCTATGCATGCTATGATTGATGTTAGGCGATTATGGGGAATATTTTTGGGGTTCTTAGATCTAGGTCCAAAACGATTAATTGTCATTGTGTTTAGTCTAAGAGTTTTTTGTTTTACATGTAGGTCCTTTGACTTTTATTACTCTTTTTATTGTGTCAATTTTACCCTTTGAGGTACATAAGGAAAACATTAAAAATCTAAATTTAATGAATTATGTACTTGTAATTAAATTTCAAATTTTAAATTTGGAATTCTTTCATTGATAATATTTACCTAATATATGGGTAAAATACAAATTAATCAATTGAAGTAAAGGCCCACATATTATACAAATAAATTAGGCAAGCACCCACATTAAATTATGTACCTAACATACAGGTAAATAGTGTTCTTATTAGCAATGAAAAAAACTTAGTGATAAATCGTGTTACTTATAATACATGAACATAAATTAGAAGACTACATATAAGTCAGATACAAAAATAGACAAATAAAATTATATGTTACCTATAAAAAAATGTATATAAAATACTATTATTCATTGTCTAAAATATGAAGAAAAAAAAACACACAAAAACAGAACAAATATATACCTATGCAATAGGCAATATGACAATATACCTACACCATGGGATAATTTATCTACAATAGTATACTATACATCTACCATACGGTGAACAAAAATAAAAATAATGGCATATAAATTATCATCTTACTCATTTTAGACAATAGGGATATAATAGGAACAAAAAAAATTTAAATACAAATCAGTTAAATACA